GCCCCTCGTCCGCCCTCCCCACGCCCCCTACTCCCGTCCCAACCTGCCCCTCCCAATAGCCGGTGGGCGGTGGGAAGAGGCTTCTCCTCTCACGCCTCTCCTCCTGCTCCGCAGCAGGGGAGGTTATGAGTGTGCCTGGAAACTGCTCGCCTGCGGAAAGGCTGCTCGGCCACCAGCCCAGGGATTCCCAGGGTCACCCCGGTCCAGGGGTCCCCAACCCTAACCGCGCTCCGGGACCTTGCCCCCTGGCGGCCGTGCTGAGAACTGCATCGCCTGGGCGCCCCGCCCCGCGTATGCTGCCCCTGTGACCCTGCTCTGCCCTCTCTGGTTCTCCGCGGGTGAATTAAAGAAACGGCCCGAGACCTGGGTCCCTGTGACAGGCAGGCCGACGATGCCAGGCGTCTGTGCTGCCCGGGGCCAGGGCGCCCCAAGGGGTCGGGTGTCTGCGGAGAGGGGGACGGTGCTGGGCCCCGGGGCTGGCCCTCTGCTGTCCGCTGTGCCCACGCCCTGCAGCCGGGCTCCTCCTCTGCAGCCGCCCGGGAACACCCTGCAGGGCGCTGGCTGAGCCCGCTGGGCGCCCAGGGGCAGGTCTGAGCCAGCACCTTCCGGAGTGATAAATCCAAGCATCCTTCTGTCTCCAGCAGTGCACACGTGCGCACAGCTATGATCCAGCACGTGGGTTATTCAGTTCCCGTGCACTCCCCACATCGGTGTGTATAAAGTTTCCTTACACCTACTTTTAAGAGCCAGGAGACGCGTCGCTATTGAATTTTTCTAAAGGTCACAGGTCCCTTTGAGAATTGCACAGCGATGGTCATCCCTTCCCCTTCTCGGGTCCTTACACCTGGCTTGGTGGGGGGGGGTCTTTGGATGCTCTGACCCTGCGTGGAGTTAGGGTCCCTGAGCTAACGCGGAGTGCCCCAAGAGGGCTTTTCTTTCTGAACCCCCTCATTTTTGTCCCCAAAAGTTTCTGGATGTTTTAATGGCAGGTGCTGAAACAAGGCTTGGGTGAAGGGCGTTGGGGTTGGTGCTATCAACACTTTTCAGTGTGTGTGTGCGCGCGTGCCTGTGCGTGAAGGTGCTCGTGCCTGTGCATGTATGTGCGCGTGTCTGTGTGTGTATGTGTGCGTGCCCTTGTGTGTACGCATGTGTGTTCTTTCCAGGTGGCCTGCTTTTGGAACACATGCTTTCTCAGCTCTGTACCTCTGCTTCTGTATAAGGAAAATCTCTCTTCTATCTGGATCCATCCTTCCAATCCTGCATAGACACTGTCTCCTCCCGGGATGCTGTGCGACAGTTGACAGTGGACTCTGCCTCTCTGTTCTCCTCTAGGGGGACTCCTGAGATTCCCTGCTGAGTTGGTACAAATGGATATATGCGTGTCTTACCCTGCCGAACGCTTGCTGGTCTCTCTCATGCACTGTATTAACCCGCCAGAAGGAGTTGTTTTTTTTTTGTCTTTTTCAGACCAGGTTTAACTATGCAGTTTAGGCTGGCCTTGAACTCATTTTGTAGTAGCCCAGGCTGGCCTCAAACTCACAGTGATCCTCCTGCCTCAGCCTCCTAAGTGCAGGGATCACAGGCATGCACCACCATGCCTGGCTACGATGAGCAATTTTAAAAGAATAAATTTCAACTTGAAAATATTCAAATGCAATAATGATATTTCCTGCAGGAACTGAAGCTTCTACTTTCCAAACCAAATCTTTTTTTTTGTCTTTTTCATTTTTATCGGTACCGGGGATTGAACTCACGACCGCCTGCTTGCAAGGCAGGTGCTTATGCCGCTGAGCTAAATCCCCAGCCCCTCCAAACCAAATCTTATGCCCCACAGTGCACCATCTTTTTTTCTTTTTTAACTGCTTTACATTTTAAGTGCATGCAAACATTCTCAGGGGGAGTCACAAAGGATGTCAGAGTTGCAGTCATTCAGGTTTTGTGTTTTGTCTTGCCTGGCACCATGTGGCCATTGTCTACTATGAGCTTCTGTCTCCTGCATAAACTGACAGACAGGCACTGCATGGCAGGCTCTGAGGCAGGAGGTGCACCAGGTGAGCCGGAAGGTGCCGGGCCATTACTGCCTCCCTCCCGCATGCAAACGGTGCTGGTGTGTGTGTGTGGGCCAGCAGGTAACTGGGAGTTTTTTCAATTAATGTCGAGATAGAACACAGTATTTATTCAAGAGTAAATAATAAAAATACCATCATGTGAAATATATACATATATATCTCCATGGTAACCATAGAAGTGTTTTTAGAATTTAGGCCAAAAAAATCTGTTTTCTTTGAGGAGCTTTTATCACTAACATTAATAAAAGGAAGACTGATTTTTGCTTCTAATGTATTTAAATTTTGTCATGACAAAAGTCCTGGTTTCCAGCTTCCAAAGCTGAAAGCTGCCATCTCACCAGGTGGCCAGCAGGTTCCTGCATGGCATGGAGGGTGACAAGGACCAGCTCCCCAGAGCAGCATCGCTCAGCCAGCAGCGGCCACACCCTGGGGTCACGAGGACATCCCCCTTCCTATATGTGGCCGGATTTTCCATGAGGGGCCGTACAAAGCGACATATTGCCAAGGTTGGATACAGAAACAGGTACCAGAATCCAGCTGTCTTTATCATGCCACATAGACCAGAGGTTGGCAGAATTTTTTTGTAAAACACTGTAATTCTTCTGATTCTTTTTGGGGTTATTATTTGGAAGACACAGCTTATTCTTCATAAAGCTGTGTTACATAGGTTAACAGAGGGTGGTTGTTTTATTCTCACTCTGAAAAGCACGGATTTTATGGCTATACAGTTTGGTTGGGGTCTGGACTCAAGCCCTTGACGAGGGTCACTGTGCCTCCTGGCGGTGGGCCCTGCTGTCCCTGGGCTGTGGGGTCAAGGCCAGGATGGATGGGGTGGGCAGGTCCCTGAGGGTGACCGTGGTTCACAAGCCTCTCTGTGTCTGGTGGCCCTGGGTATTGAAGCCAGAAGTGACTATCACCCTGCCTCCTGGTGAGCAGAGGTCTTGGGGCATTGGCCGTATCTCTGGGCCCAGGTACATGCTCAGGGCTGCAGTCTCTGCCTCCTCTGCCCCAGCAGAGGAGTCCTGGGGTCCTGCCCTGGGCAAGATGAGGACTGTGTGGTTCTTGCAGTGAGGGGTGAGAAAGACACATGACACTGTTGGACCTGGTATACTGGGCTGCAGGCTCGTTGGTGACACCAGTAGGAGCAGGGCAGGGGTAATGGGCTCAGGAGCTGGTGGCCTGGGATCTGCTGAGGAAGGCGGGTCCCTGATGTGGTTCTTCTGGCCTTTGACAGGGCCACCGAGGCTCGGGAGGGACCCCAGCTCCTCAGCCTGTGTCTTAGGCCAGTCTACGGCGCAAAGGTCACTGCATGATAAGTTTGGCTGTGTCCCTGGGCTCTGCCCACCAGAGGCTGGAGGGACAGCACTCTGTCCCTGTTCGTGACACCCAAAACATCTCCAGATACTGCTCATGCCCTGTGGCAGCCACCGGTACAGAAACCATCAGACAAAGCTCTGGCATGGGGCATCAGCAGCCCAGGGGGTGTCATACTTCACACACACCTGGGTTTCTGCTCCCAGGGATCAAGGGGCCTCTGCACCCCGTCTCTCTCCTGAGGACCCTCTGGCCCATCGCTGCCTTCTCTCCCAGCGCTTGGATAAAACAGAACCAGCAGTAGAGAGTTCTGAGAAAAATCTGGGTGACACCAGGCAATTAGAGGAAGCCATGCCTCCCTTTACCCTCTACCCCAGCCCTGCGGCTTCCAGTTCCGAGTTGTGGCAGAAACAATGGGGCCATCAGCAGTGGGGTAGACAATGAACATCTCTGCTAGGACGACGAGAATGAACAAGCCACAACTGCAGGACAGTGGGAGGACCCGGCTGACCGACGCCCGCTGGAGGAGAGAAACCACGCCAGGGAGCGGCTACTGTGTCTCCATTCCTGAAAAGCCCCCACTGGCAGAGCATTTGGTGTCAAAGCTCAAGGGGGACAGGGAGGCCCCGGAATGCTGGCCTAGGCTGTAAACCTTGTGGGGCCCCTACAGTACACCTCCTAATTATGTTATGCTTCAGAAAAAAGCCAGCAAACAAACACAGCATTTGGGCCAAAAGACGGTCTCACAGGGCATCAAGAAATAACCAAATACAAAGAAACAGACCTTTTTATCAAAGGGGGGAAATTTCTAGGATTCTCAGGTAAGTACCCTGTTGTGTCCCAACTCTCAAAGTATTTGGAACTCGGTTCAAACATAGCCCCTAGGAAACCGGCACCAGCACCACAGTGTTATTTGCTCCTGATTGAAAATAAAGCCCCACTCATCTGGGCGGGTCAGGTGGTTTGGCTAATGTCAGAGCCATCATTTATTGATCAAATGCACTGTTCTGCTGGGAACCTGGACTCCACCTGGCTGATCAAGCGTTTGGAGCCGTCTTTGGCCAACAGTCTAGTTTATGAAGTCACAGACAAAACAGGAGAGACTGCTACCCAGTTCTGCTCCCAGCAAAACATTGGCAGAAAAATAAAGACCAGAAAATAACACAGCAAGCAAGGTTTCTCGTTTAGATCCAACTACACGCATCACTCATGAATTCCTCCCTTCAAAGACGGCTAGGCCAAGGGACAACCCCAGCAAGACAGAGCATTTCACCTGTGCTAGGCTCCCCGATTGCAAATTAGATGCCAGATTAACTCGCAGGAGTTCCCCAAGTCTTTCATTCTCTGCTGACAATGTCTTAGCTCCACTGTTCCCCATCACATCTTCAAGAGACTTCCCTGGGAGCCGCAGGCACCTTTACACTTTTCTTCCTGGGGTGGTTTCCTAAAATTTCAGTCCTGTTTGCAAAATGCTGCATGTACCTGTGGACCCTCGATGCCGCTCACAGACCCACCCAATACACTCTGCAGCAGGCTTTGTCCCCACGGCATGTCTGTGTCACATGAATTTAAGAAAGCAAAACCTCGCCCATCTCTAGAGCAGAGATAGGCTCTTACCTGGCCCCAGGTTTCGTCCGTGGGCACGTGACTGGGTGAAGATGCATAAAAGCAAGACAATGGTAATGCACTGGGCACTTCCCATTTTTCCTGTCTCTCGCTTGGGTGGGAGGCCTTCTTTTTCACTTCTGGAGCTAAAGAGACCAGAATGTTTATGGATACTGTGTGAGGGAAGGCTGCCCATTAATCATTAACCCACCACGTGTTACCTGGTCCATGGGCCCTTCCTTCATGCCCCCGGCCCCACACCCAATCGTATCTCATACGGAAAAGATTGACCTACAGCAGTACTTTTTACCCTGATGTGTTTTGAAAACCAAGGGTCTTGGTGCATCTTCTTACCTTCTTGGGCCGTGGCTCTAGTTCCCAATTAATCCATTTTAGGTTAATGTGTCATGTTTGGAAATTCTGTCACAGGTCAGGCAGGTGACTTCAACTTTGCCTAAGTCTCCCTCGGCTGCAGAGCGAAGGGGCATGGGCCGCGCTGGTGTCTGAGTCCAGGCAGTGACACACAGCCCTGCTGCACTGGGCCCTAAACCTTTTCTGGGCCCCGTTCAGCCCAGACTGACAGGAGTGGCACTCACAGTGCTGTGGACATGGACAACGTTTCTAGAGGGACAGGAAGAGAAATCCCGGAATCTCAGAGTAGGGAGCAGCCGGTAAGGAGCACAAATGCCCAGGCCGAGCCTGCGGAGGGCCTGCTCGGAGGGACCCCACTCTTTCCTCTGTGCACTGCTGAAAGCTCAGCCGCGAGGCTGCCCAGCAAACTAGCCAGCGAGATTTCTGCCATGTGCAACTCCTATGCATGCTAGTCCTTGCATGTTACTTACATTTAAAGTTTAATCAACACACACACACACACACACACACACACACACACACACTCACGCACACACACACACTTCCTGCTACGTGCCTGTACCAGACCCTGGTCTAGGCACTTGGGCTCTACAAGTGGTTACAGCAAAGATCAGAGTCCTTTGGCCCAGTAGGGGTGGGAGGGGCGGATGACGTCAGCAGGGGCCGCGGAGGAGGTTCACGTTGATTGGCTGAGCGCACTGGGAGCCAAGCAGAAAGAAAAGGCTTCCCAATGGAGGGGGAGGATGGTAGCGGTATTAAACCGCGTGTCGCAGTACGTCTTGTTGGGAAGTTGGCCTAGCGCAAAGGATTGAGGGAAGAGAGGGCACTGCCCCCGTGGACACCCAGGAAGTTCAAGCAGTCTGTGCCAAGGCCCTGAAGCTGGCACATGCTTGGTGCATTCACAGAATAGCAGGAGAGCCAGAGAGCGGGGTTCGCCCTCCCTGCACTGTGCATGGCTCTTGCACTGTGAGCTGTGAGAGCCATTCTCTCTCTCTCTCTCTCTCTCTCTCTCTCTCTCTCTCTCTCTCTCTCTGTCTCTCTCTGTGTGTGTGTGTGATGTGCTCTGCCTCAGGTTTTCACGAGGCCACTGATTGGCGAATGAGCAGGGGCGATGGGGAGAGGCGAGGACAGCTGGGTCCAGCATGGCAGTGTGGGTGCTGGATATATTTTGAAGGATCTCCTGACTGCTGGCATATGGGATATGGGGGAAGGAGAGAGTTAAGAGGGACTGCAGGGTTTGCATGGAGCAGGCAGAGGAATGGGGTTTCCAGCCACCGGGGCAGGGAAGGCTGCGAGGAAGCAGCTTCGGCCTGTGCCATCCAGGGGGCTCTAGACCTCCCCGAGGAAATGCCGGGTGGGCAATGAGATGCCCCAATCACTCTCGACTGGATAAGACTGAAAAGCTTAAATGGTCATGACCCCAAGCCAAAGCCGGGCTATGCACTACCCCAGACTTCCGTTTCCTTCTCAAGGGCTGCACCTTAGGGACCATGCGACAGACACGTGACTTGTGATCCAGATTTTGCCTTGGACACCTGGCTGGCTCTTCTTACCGTGTGCAATTAAGGGCAGCGCCTGGAAGGTCCACTTTTCTTTTCTTAAAAGCTGAGTCCAAAGGACTCCCAGCCTTATCCCTGAACCTACTCTTGTCACTTCTCTGCTGGGCACTGCCGGGAACCACCCTGAACTCCGCAGCTTTGCAGGTTGGTTACTGACGATACTCACAGATCCGAGTGCCCCACAGCGCCCCCCATTCCACCAAGAAGTTCTGCAGAATTTGCTTTCTTCCTACTTTCTACACTTTAGCCTTGTGCTAGTTCTTGGAATTCCCACCCCAAATTCCCCTCTGATCTGCTCATGCCAGCTCCTGAGGGTGGCTGGAAGAAGGGGTGCTATGCCTGCTTGAACCTGCTGTTTCCTCTTGTACCCCAGTTCCTGTGCATCTATCACCGGTCCTGCCTCCCTGCTATTTTAAGGCACAGTCTGTGCAGTTCTCTGAAGGCTGCTAGGAGGGAGAGAGTTGGGGCCTCTTGGGGCGGAATAGGAGGTTCCCAGAGCCCGAGATCCTAGATCTGCCGTCCATTAGCTTTGAGGGACATCCTACTTTAATGAGTCCTATTTCCTCACCTGCTAAAGGGGGACACACTTGCCTGAGAACATAATTTGAGTTATTAACGAGGACTGGGGTGTGGAGAACACTCATTTTAGGCCAGCTCCGGGTTCCTCTTGTCCTGTGGACCTTGAGACCCATTGCCACAGAGACTGACTTGGGCATGTGGACAAAGTAAGAAACTTTCCAGAGTTTTCTTTACATCATGTTTAGAAAATTTATGTTTGCATATGCATGCTTGTAATATATTAGTGCTCTACTATTTCTAAGTACAGGATGTGCTCAAAGTTTCTTTAACTAATAAAGATGCTCTTGTCCAAGAGGGGATGTCCCTGGCATAGAGGGACAGAGTGGCCATCGAGATGGCATAGCAATGTTGCCTTCTTCAGTGCATCTGAACAGTCATGTTGGTGGCATCTTTGGTCATTTTTGCTTCTGAGGAACAGCAGAGATCTCTGGGAATTGTGCAGTTTCTGTGGGTTTGGAGTGGGCACTGAAGTGCCTCTGAGGCTGGAGCCTCATTCCTGCAGAGCCCAAGGGCTTCTCCCTGTGCAGCTCATCAAAGATTTTTCTGTCTGGGTAGCACTGTGCTCTGGTGTGTAATCCTCAGACTTAAATAATAATGGCTTTATAATTAGATTCTTAAGAGTTGCCCTATTCTTGCTCCCTTTTAATTGGAAGAGGTGCTTGAGAAAATAGAGATTTCAAGAGATTGGCGTTTAGTGACCTGGACGACCTCCAGAATCGTGGTGATAAGGAAGTGAGCCCAAAGAGGAGACGCACGCTTTATAGAGATAAAAAAGGGCAAGCGCTAGGGGTCAGGGTGGGAAGCAGGCACACGAGGTGCGGGCTCGTATTCAGGAGCACACTTGTCTTCTTTCTTTCCCCTGACAATGGTGAGTCTTGTTGAGGTCCTAATAGACGAGCGAGCAGGACTACAGTGTTTGGACTGGCACTGTTATTTCTCTGATTTTGCCATTGAAATGTAAGAGATCAGGAACTGTATCTCAATGGGAACAGTCTGTATCTCACCAGAAAAAGAGCCGAAGATTGGGGATATTGGGACGCCTGAGTACAGTGCCCAGCGACAAACCCAAAGTCCCACAGCACTGGTTTTCCGTGGCCCAGAGCCGGACTATCCCACACCTCACCAATTCCACATCCGAGATGCAGTTTGTGAAGTTTGTGGGGCTCACGTCATAGGCAAGTGGTTCACCCTGTTTCATTTTTGCCTGGGCCCAGCCTGCCTGAGGGAGATGACAACTTTCTGTCCTATCACCGATCGATCTGTGTGGACATTTGTGTACTCTTCAGGGACATAGAAAAACAAGCTGAACAGAGCAAACCAAATAGGGAAACCTTGTCCGTGTGGGCTGGCTTGGGGCCTTCCTCCATTTGGAAAGGGGAAGCTGAGCTGGAGTTTAACCTTGTCTTTATCTATGTTAAAAAATGAAACAAATGTAAATGAACCAAGGGTGGAAGCAAGATTGCAGAGGATAAGTGCAGGTTTCAGGCATTCCGCCGTGTTCAGTCATGCAAGGGTACGGCTCCCAGAGATCAGGTCTTTGCCTGGCTCTGCCTCTGTTTCTCAGACTGGAGGTGAACTCTGCCACCTCTCTCTGCCTCAGTTTCCTTCTGTATCAAATGGGACTGTGAAGATTAAATCATGATGGCTAGGAAAGGTGGGAAAGTTAGGCTTCTTTGATTTTCATAACAAATGAGGTAGAAGTTATTTCTCCTGTTTTACAGATGAGGAAAACGAAAGCCGGAGATTCCTTATTCCAGGTCACTGTGCCTGACCAGTGAAGATTAGACCTAGAACTCTAGGTTGCAGAAACAACAACAGGGAAAAACCAAATGGGAATAGGAACAAAACTCCAAAGCCAGACAGTCTTTTATTGTGTCTTGGGACTGAGGTTCTAATAATCCCTTGTACGATTTGAGGTATCCCAGGAGACGAGAGACCTTTTTTTTCTTTCTTTGTATTATGCTTGGAAGCAAAAAGAAGGAAAAATTTTAATTGGCTTCAGACAGCCAGATAGTGGACAATGCTGACCCCTTGAAGTGTGCTTTGCTGGGGGAGGGCAGGCCCTATTCTCCCAGTGCGCACGCAGGGTGCTGGCTGGGCTCATAAGGGTGGTCGAGCTGGGCTCCTCAGAGACACCAAGTAAAGCCGAGAACTGTGTGATCCATGGCAGCAACAGGGGGTGCCAGCCAGGAGGAAGGAGTGCCCCCTCAGCGCGGGGGCTCTCCGTGGGTGCTAGTGCTTCTGGTTGTGGCTCTCCAGAATCCTGTCCTCACCTGGGGGTTGGGCCATCTGGGGACACTGGACAGACAGCACAGTCCCCGCCTCTCTGCAGCAGCTGGTCTTACAAGAAGACACTGTGCCTTGTATGCTTCTTGTAAGAGCTGAAGCTATGGCACCTGAGCGCAGGGCTGCAAGAAACCAGGTCCAGATTCCCATTTGTCACCTTATCTCCACCAAATCCCTGAGTCCCGAGGAGCTGGTCACTCACTTATCCCTGTGCAGGCCTAGACAGTCGGGGTTAAGGAGCTGCAGGGCTCAGCTCCAGCTGAGGTTAAGAATGTAGGTTTGGCTGAGGTCAGCCGTTGTGCGACCTCAGCTGACCCTCAGGAAGAACTCTGGACGCAGGCACGATTATC